GCGTGCGGCCCAGAACATCTAAGGGCATCACAGACCTGTTATTGCCTCAAACTTCCGCGGCCTAAGAGGCCGTAGTCCCTCTAAGAAGCTGGCCACGAAGGGATACCTTCGCATAGCTAGTTAGCAGGCTGAGGTCTCGTTCGTTAACGGAATTAACCAGACAAATCGCTCCACCAACTAAGAACAGCCATGCACCACCGCCCATAGAATCTTGAAAGAGCTCTCAATTGTGGCTAATTCCAATGAGGGACTCAACTGCCACACACAAGCTGCTTATTCCATGAATGATCTTCTACAATTCAGAATTAACAATGATCTTGTTGATTCTAGATCTACTGGACTTCAGTACACATGGAATAAAGGAAGTAAGTGGGCCAAGCTTGACAGAGTTTTGATCAACCATGAATGGGAAGCCATTGACTGGGTCTGTTGGGCAGAGTTTAAGGATATGCAAGTTGAATCAGATCATTGCCCTGTTGTTTTAAACCTGATCCACAACAGCAACAAGGGTACCAAACCCTTTAAATTTTTCAATATGTGGTTGGAACACAAGGCCTTTGATAATATTCTTCAGAAGTCATGGAGTACCAGAGTGGAAGGCACAAGGCAGTATAGGCTCTGTAAGAAGTTGAAGCTTCTTAAACAACCTCTGAGGAACCTAAACAAATTGGAATTTGGTCATATATCTGCAAGAGCCAAGGTAGCCAGGGAGGAGGACAGCAGGTTGATGAAAGAATTTGTGCTCCAGCCAAACAATCATGATCTTATGCTGCAAATAGAACAATTGAGGAAAAAAGCAAATTTCTATATTGACTCTGAGAGAGCTTTCTTCCAACAGAAGATTAAAACTGATCTGGTTTTGGAAGGGGATAAGTGCACTAAATACTTCCATGCTATTATGAGGAAACAACATGGCTCCAACTCAATCCCTTTCCTCACTACTGAAGGGGGTGGAGTTACCAGTTCTTTGAAGGAAATTGCTGACTTATCTGTGGGATATTACACCAACTTGTTTGGTCCCAGTCCTAATGTAATGCCCATTGACTGGAATGTTTTTCAAGAAGGGAAGATTATAAACCCCATGGAAGCCATGAACCTCAGTAGAAATGTTCAGTTTGATGAAGTACAAACAGCTCTGTTTAGCATTGGGGATGACAAAGCGCCAGGTCCTGATGGATTTAGTGCTGCCTTCTTTAAGAGGAAATGGAATGTGGTTGGACAAAATGTTTTTGAGGCTGTGGATGAATTTTTTAGGAGTGGCAAACTCTTGAAACAAATTAACCATGCTACTGTGGCTCTGATTCCCAAGGTTAAGGAGAATCCTGGTGTGAAAGATTTTAGGCCTATTGCCAGCTCCAATGTCACCTACAAGATTATTACCAAAATTCTTTCCAACAGAATGGGCCCTCTTCTACCTGATCTTATTGACAAAGCACAATCAGCCTTTATTGGAGGGAGGAACTTAATGGACAGTGTTCTATTGGCTCAACATCTTGTGAGGAGATATGCAAGGAAGAGATCAATGCCAAGCTATATGATGAAGGTTGACTTGACAAAGGCTTATGATACTGTGTCTTGGAGCTTCCTAGAAAAGGTAATGACTGGTCTTGGTTTCCCTGGTAGGTTTGTTGGTTGGGTTATGGAGTGTGTGACTACTGCATCTTTCTCCATGTCTATCAATGGAGGGCTTCATGGATTTATCAAATGTGGAAGAGGTATTAGACAGGGAGACCCTATGGCTCCTACCCTTTTCCTCTTCTGCATTGAATATTTCTCAAGAATGCTCAAGAAAATGGGGAAACAGAGAAACTTCAGCTATCACTCACTGTGTCAGACTTTGGAAATCACTCACATTGCTTTTGCAGATGATCTCATGCTTTTTTCCAAGGGGGATCTTGATTCAGTGGGAGTTTTGGCTGATGCACTTAAACATTTTTCTCAGGTGTCTGGACTGCATGTCAACCCACAGAAATCCAATATCTACCTTGCAGGACAGATTAAGGACAACAAGAATGATTTACTGGATTTAGTGCAATTTCCCTTGGGTCAATTACCTGTCAGGTATCTGGGCCTGCCATTGACTTCACAGAGAGCCTCAGAAAGGGATTTTGCACCTTTAATCAGCAAAGTGGAAGAGAATATTCATAGATGGAATACCAAGACACTGTCCCAGGCTGGAAGAGTGGAACTGATCAGAAGTGTCATCCAAGGGATCCAGGGGTTCTGGCTTCAGGTCTTCCCAGTCCACAAATCAGTGCTGAACAGAATCATAACCATTTGCAGAACTTTTCTTTGGGGCAGTAAGTTCTCAAAAGTGGCTTGGAGTGACATTTGTAAACCTCATGAGGAAGGTGGGTTGGGCCTGAAAGACTCCTACACTTGGAACCAGACTTTCCTCATAAAAAACTTTTGGAACATTGCATCTCACAAAGACACCTTGTGGGTAAAATGGGTTCACTCTGTTTATCTTCAAGGCAGGGACATTTGGACATGGACACCCAAAAAAGAGGACTCACACCTCTTCAAAAGGTTGTCCTATGTCAGGGATATTATGATTGACAAGTGTGGGGATGCCCAAGAGATTGAAGATTATTTCCAGTCCTTCTGTGTTAATGGCAGCTTGAATACTTCAAAGATTTATGACCTCATCAGAACCAGGAACCAAGCAAAGCCATGGATGAAATTTATATGGCAGACTTATATTAAATTGATGGTGTATTCTGTTGTGGGAAGGCTTTGGCCGCTGTACTCCCTTTCTTTTTGATGATGTTTGTTGGTGTGTGCGTTAGTGGCTGCTGTTTGGCTGTATTTGTTGACGTTTAGTCTTGTTGGCTAACGTTACTTTGTGGATTTGGTGTGTTACCAATTCCAAGCTCGGGTATGCCCGTTCTATTTGTATATTCCTATTCTTCTTCTATTTACATTTTTACCGTTGAAAGAGCTCTCAATCTGTCAATCCTTACTATGTCTGGACCTTGTAAGTTTCCCCGTGTTGAGTCAAATTAAGCCGCAGGCTCCACTCCTGGTGGTGCCCTTCCGTCAATTCCTTTAAGTTTCAGCCTTGCGACCATACTCCCCCCAGAACCCAAAGACTTTGATTTCTCATAAGGTGCCGGTAGAGTCCTAAAAGCAACATCCAC